AATATCAAGGTGAGTGAGTGAGTACGGTTTTACGCTGCTTTTAGCAATATTCCAGCAATATCACGGCGGGGGACACCAGAAATGGGCTTCACACATTGTACCCATGTCGGGAATCGAACCGGGGTCTTCGGCGTGACGGGCGAAAGCTTTAACCACTAGGCTACCCGACCTCCCAAAAATATCAAGGAAACAGGAATGAAAATCATCTGCCCTCAGTTGATCAATTTAAACAATTACATATACAAGAATTGACAATTATTCGCCTAAGATGTTCCATCAAAGGAAGCCTTCCGTTGCCATGATTATAGTCATAAATTCAATGATACATCATACAGTGATCATTCAATTAAATGGCAGAATACACAAGCCGTGTGGGTAGAACTGTCCCATCTGTCGTTTGCCAGCATGGTCACACAAGTCACTCTCCTGTGTCTAAGTGCAGAGCAGCATTCAGGTTCACACAGAAAAACAGGAAAACTCAGCAATATTCCAGCTATATGATGACGGCCTGGAAATGATCAAGTCTGGACCAGACAATCCCGTGGTCGATATGTGAGCAATGATCCATGCCATCAGAGTTTGAAGACATGCTATGAACAAAGACACCAAGTCTGACCACTCAATCCATTAAGTTCTTTCTGACGACCAGCATAGGATGCTGGGAGTCAGTTCTAACCCGGAATCCCCGCGTGGGAATTGATCTGTGGGAATTGATCATTGGGAATTGATCAGTGGGAATTGACCAGCATAAGTTGCTGGGAGTCAATTCAAACCAAGAATCCCCACGTGGGAATTGATCAGTGGGATTGATCAGTGGGATTGATAATTGGGAATTGATCAGTGGGAATTGATCAGTGTCAATTGACCAACATAAGTTGCTGGGAGTCAATTCTAACCAAGAATCCGCACGTGGGAATTGATCAGTGGGTGGGTGGGTACAATAACAACTCTCCTTTTGTTAGAGACAGTTCAAATGTGACATGTGGAGACGGAGCTCAAATGTTTCCCTGTTGCTCTTTCATTCAGTAACGGTCAGTTTATCTGATTATCTGAAACTAGCATGTTTCATAGTGATCCTTAGTTAACTTGTTTGTTTGTTTTGTTTGTTTAACGCCCCACCCAGCAATATGACAACGGTCTGTACATAACCAGACATGACCAGACAATCCAGTGACTGATATCATGAGCATTGATTTGGATACAATGACATGCATCAACCAAGTCAGCGAGCCTGACCACCTGATCCCGTTAGTCGCCTCTTACGACAAGCATAGTTGCCTTTTACGGCAAGCATGGCTGCTGAAGTGCTATTCTACCCCGAATCTTCACAGGTCGATTGTGAGTTTAGAACAGTTTGCAACTAAACATGAACTGACACGATGAACATTGTGTTATTTACCATTGTGTCCTTAACTCAATCCAATCTAACAAATAGTGTTCATACTGCCATGGCCTTCAATGAAGCTCTGTGACAGGTCGGAGATAGGCCTACATCAGCAGCATCTCTGACAGCATTATCTGGTGTCCCCCCGCCGTGATATTGCTGGAATATTGCTTAAAGCATCATAAAACTATACTCACTCACTCACTGACAGCATCAGTACTTGCTACACATCTGTGACTTCTGCAGAATAAAAGAACTGTTTTTATATGTTTTACGTCAACATATCCTCATATGTCTAATATTATTCAAAAACATTCTAACAATATTTTAAACTATACCATTGCTATTCTACCATGCATCCACCAGTTACTCAACTGCAACATGCACACCTGTTATCATCGTTTGAAATAAAAAATCTACACAAATTATTCTTTCCCTAATCATGCTTATAAAATGTGTTCATTGTTTCGTGCTGACTCATTCCATTTGTTAATTGAACCATTTATTGTACAAAGTACTCATTCGTAAATTATAGATCTGTCAATAAATCAAACTGTATGATACCTAAATAGATGATTATACTTGTTTTGGTAACATGTGTTGACCAGCTAGCTCCAGTACAACCCTGCTACATCCATATCCTGATTCACATTCAACAATCAACAGTTCTTCAAAACTGCAGTTTTAAGTATATTTACTTGACATGATAAGCACCCGCAGCGATTTTTGCTAATATGTTGGCTAGTGAACAATCCCAATTAGCACCCCTTCCAATTGATCAATGTACACAAGACTTATTTATTCGTGTATAATACACACTCATGTGTTATATGCACCCTTAATTATGGACAATTCTATTCTGGAAAAATATATCTGTCGTGTATAATACGCACAGACTTTTCTTTTGTATCATTTCAGGCATAAATCACAAAATTTACGATCTTTCAACTCTTTCACCAAAATTATATTCTAATAAAAGCCCCCTATTTCTAATTTTGAGAGCACCCTGGGCGCTTATTATGTCGAATATAGTATTAGACGTGATGTAGCAAATTTGATTCAAAAAATGTTTATAATCATTATTAATCAAATAATTTTGATCATGACAAATGCAAAATTAATCCCCAAATCATTCAATGTAGATGTTAGATGTAGATTCCATGTTAAATGCTATATTTTTTAATATTATAGATTATACTGATATATAATGACAAAACTCATGCATGTGTAATGCAACACACATGCACAATTATACAAATATATCATATGAAATTATGACAATGTGATTTGCAGATATCGACTGATGTAAAGAGAAAAAACATAATAACATTACTAATTTGTTTGTGTGGGAATCTTAAAAATCATTTTAGAATATAGAAACATAAAAAGCTGAGGTCTAACAAAATTAACATTGAGCTATCTATTGTAATCATCTGATCATTGTCAAAGCTGTTGTATTGAAATGCATGCATATAGCCTAATCAGCGTTAATACGACGATGTGGATACATTTACAATTAACATAGAGTTCATGTTTCATTGTGTGGAATTCAAACATGAAGAATAACACTTTAAATGCTGATTGCAAAACATCATCAAAGCGACCTGGATTGAACGATCAGCTGAGCTTGCAACGAACTGCTTGGTTGGTTGGTTGGTTGTTTAACGCCGCACTCAGCAATATTCCAGCTATATGACGGCAGTCTGTAAATAATCGAGTCTGGACCAGACAATCCAGTGATTGATATCATGAGCATCGATCCACGCAATTGGGATCGATGGCATGCATCAACCAAGTCAGCGAGCCTGACCACCCGATCCCGTTAGTCGCCTTTTACGACAAGCATAGTCACCTTTTACGGCAAGCATGGGTTGCTGAAGACCTATTCTACGAACTGCTATCAAGTGGTGTACTATTACAATATGAGCCGTATTCCAGTTATGTCAGGGGGCACGGGTGGCCCAGTCGTCTTAGGCGCCGCGATTCGCTGTGCAGAGTTGCGTCCCTTGGGCACGCCAGAAACCTATGATTGTGGGTTCGAATCCCGGTTCGCCCCGATTATGTTTCTAGGTTTGTCAGCACCATACCCGTGTCCGTGGGTTTCACCGAAGTGATAAACATCTGAGACCTGCATCACTTCGGGCTTTCCTCCCACATTCAGCTGACACGCCGCGATATAACTGGAATACTGTTAAAAGCAGTGTTAAACACAACTCACTCACTCACCGAATATAAGTAGTCCTGATTTTCCCTGATGTATCACTGAATCACGGAACATATATTTCAGGACATGACAATAGATATATCAATTTTCAGGGGAAAACATGTACTGCCCATACACCAGCGTGCGTGTGTGAGTGAGTGAGTGAGTTTAGTGCGTGAGTGAGTGAGTGAGTGAGTGAGTGAGCGAGTTTGATTTTACGCCGCTTTTAGCAATATTCCAGCAATATCACGGCGGGGGACACCAGATATGTGCTTCAAACATTGTATCCATGTCGGAAATCGAACCCGGGTCTTCAGCGTGACGTGCGAACGCTTTAACCACTAAGCTTTCTGACTGCCCCCCACCAGCGACAACGTTGCCGATAGAGGTGAATGCTGAACTGTTTAACCATCTATAGGTATGACAGTAACACGTACTTGTATCACGCATACCACATCTGCTGTCAGTTTAAGGTTGGACTGGCTGGCGATTAGCGATTAGCGAGCAAGTATGATTTTTCACCGCTATTAGCAATTTTCCAGCAATATCTTGGCGGAGAACACCTAAACAGGGCTTCAGGCTTTGTACCCAATTGGGGAATACCCCACCACCTCAATGATGAGAATGAATCCCTTATACCTCGCTACAAAGCAAAAAGCTGCACGTTATTTACAAAGGACTGAAAGTCAAGTGACACAGCACAAGTAAACATCAGCTCAGTTGAACAGCTGTTTTCTATCAATTTTCATTTTATATTAATTCTTTTACAATGGCAGACTGTGATATAATTGTTGTTCAAGTCAATATTGTGAAAAGACGATGAACACAGCACTGATTTCGCATCGGAAATGTTGTCAATGGAGATAACGATCCACATAACTATTGTGTAAATAGCCTATAATATAACTTTCATCTGATTTATGGATATTTTGTAATGGTATGTGAACCGCCTCCGTGGTCTAGAGGTAGAGCGTCCACCCAGAGATTGGCAGGTCCAGAGTTCGATCCCCGGCCGCGTCATACCAAAAGACGTTAAAAGATGGTACTTGTTGTTACCCTGTTTGGTGCTCGGCATTAAGGGGCTAAAACAAGGACTGGTCGGCTTGGAGTCAGCATACAGTGTCTGAGTGGGGTATTCATGTTAAACTGTGGCATGGTATCCCAGTGAGCTAGCACTACAAATCGGTATCAGTCCGGACTTGTACAAGCAGCCACACACACACACACGTGCATGCACATTGCTATATAAGTGCAATAATCTTGGACGCGACGTTAAAGCCAATTTCACCTCACCTCACCTCACCTTGTAATGGTATGTATAACAAAAGTGACCCTGACGTAATGGAATCCGTGAATTTCCACGGGTCTGCAGAAAATACTCATCCCTGAACATAAGCAAAATAATGGACATGATACATAAAAATACATTTTAATCAGAACTATGTACAGTTTATGTAAGCTGACTCATGTTACTTTTAAAAAACCAGTTACAACACTTCAGAAAGCAATAGATAAGACAATGAAGGGAAGCACATGACATATGAAGAGACAATTTCAGCACTTGAGATTTGAAGGTGATGAAATACATGTATGAACAACATGGCAAAGAATCACAGTTCATCTCTTGGTCGGTCATTGTAGTCACAAACTTGACTGAAATTACAGGAAATGAGATCTACAAATCGCTTTCTAACATGACTGTAGAGACACGTAAAGTCTTCACAGCCAGGAATTTTCATTAGTTTTTCGTTGACGTACAGTCGTAGCATGTACTGACTTGTCTCCCTTGTTTCATCCGCAGCCTCACTTTCAGTAAGCAGCTCATCATTCTGGTCACATTCATAGAGAATCAGCATTAAATTGGCTGAGAAGGGCAGGATTTCACTGGTCCGAAAGAGGCGACTGCTTTGCTGCTCGTAGTTGTCTGCTGTGGGAGGTAGCGTGTCGTTGAACAGCCCAAGAGCAGTGTACAGGGGGCCTATAGTTTCGGCATGGCCGAAGTAGAAGTTCCCAAGTATATACCTGGAATACAATAGAAATACAACATATAACGTAATTCAGCCACACCAAAAATGGTCCTTGTTCTTTTGGTAACCATAAGTGAATGTCCCTTAAAAATTGCAAAATATAAAAAAAATGTCAAAATTTGAATTCAAACATACTTATTTTGAACTACCGGTAATTTTGTATTTTTGTTTCTTTTACTAAGGGAATGAATCAACAATCTATACTTTTGCTTTCTACATTTGACATGTCAATATGAAACGAAAAGAATAGGTCCTGCCAACATGCTTCAAAATGTTCATTAAATATTGTTAAATGCTAATTAAAAAACATTACAAGCTTCTCGGCAATACACAAAACTTACTCCAGAAAAGACAACTGTTTTGACTTGTTTGTGGTGGCGAAATAGTAAAGTTCTGTATTCAACAGTATTACAAGTATATTTTCCTCAAATTCCATTTTGTGACTGTAGCTACAAGTCTGAAGCTAGTGACATTTTGTTTGGTCAAGTAAGCTCAGAAATATCAGCCCAGGGCCCACTTGCACAAAGCGATCTTAGCGCTAAGATGATCGTAACTCCCATACTTTAGCTTAGGCTACAATAGTCTTAGCACTAAGATCGTTTTGAGCAAATGCGCCCAGAAATAACACTACAATTGACTTAAGAGCCAAGTTTGAGCTTGTAGCTACAAAAGATGTGGACACAGACTGGAGTCTTTGTAAATCATAAAATTAAAAGATGAATTTTGTCTTTTGTATCATAGCAACTGAAACAAATTCAGTCATCACACCATATCCAACAAATAAAAAAAAACATGATCTGTCCATTTAACCTAGCCATTATCATTGATTATTCCTGTCTGACATACTGAAGTAAGTATTTGTGTTTTTAAGATGTGATGAACTTAACATTTAAAACTACAATATGAAGCTTACTGATCTCAATGACTGATTTTAAAACCTATTCCTAACACTACTCCTCATATAGGAGACTGCCTCCGTGGTCTTGTGGTACAGCGTCCGCCCGGAGAGCGGAAGGTCCAGGGTATGATCCCTGGCCGCATCATACCAAAAGATGGTAAAAGATGGTACTTGTTGTTACCCTGTCTGGCGCTCGGCATTAAGGGGCTAAAACAAGGACTGGTCGGCACGGCGTCAGTATACTGAGTCTGAGTAGGGTGTTAAACTGTCTGCGGCATGGTATCTCAGTGGGCTAGCACCATAAATCGTCATCAGTCTGGACCCACGCACACACGCACCCACGCACACACATGTGCATGCACTGTGACGCGATGCAAGCCCCATTTCACCTCACTTCACCTTGTTTTAATTATCTTCACTTCAGAAGGTTTACAAGCTGATACTGATGAACATTTAAACATAATTTTAGGAAGTCACTTATTCAGTGTGACGTATTAGTGTTGCCTATAATAACACCAACATATGTATGACTGTATGTAATAAAACTTACACAATTTGACCTGAAATAGTGTATCATGAATGATATTGTATTGTGACTATCCTGATACATATCGTATCATGAGTGACTGTGTGTATCATTCCTGCCTCATACACCTGCTTCCTTCCTACCTCTGTTGCCCATAGCAACAATGAATATTTTTTCAATGGCCAAAAACATACACAAAACATGTTGACAAACTATCATTTTTAAGCCCATCCCCTGTATATAGGTTTGTTTTTATTAATATCCCACTAAGCAAAATTCCAGTTATAATACGGTGGACGGAAAATAAACGAGTCAGGACCTGACAATCCAGTGATTGACATAGTGAGCAATTCCAATTTCTACATCGACAAAACTTTGGGCGATGGACAATAGGTAAATGAGGATGCAACAAACCCGTTCAAATCCTCCTCATCCACTTCCGTTTCCATGGCTTCAATAGCATCGTCCATGGTGGTGAAGATATCAGTGACCAATGGACAGCTCTGGACGCCTGTGATCTTGTGTCCTGGACCATTCTTATAGTAGTGCTACAACACAATACAATAGAGAGTCGCTCACAATGCAGCTTGGAACAGTATTTTTGTTACATCACGGCACGGCAGCTCATTGAGAGGAAACCCAAAGGGAAGCAGGTAAGCAATGTTTCCCACCTGTGCGAAAGCGAAAAACTTTGATGCTGCAAAGAAAGGGTTGTTATGACAAGTCTCGTACCGAAATAACCATCAAGGAACAAGGCAGCAAAGGGACACAACTCTGCACATAGGGCCAAGTTGTAGGTTCTGCTACACCAAATCAGAACCAGTTGTGACTGTGCGGTTTTCGTAGGGAGTCTTCAGTGCAGATTGAGAGATATCTGCATGCTGTGATTGGATGATATTGTGTAAGATTTTTATGTCTTTTAAATGTACATCCATCCAGTTATTAAAACTGACCATGTTTTTCTATATTTAGTACAGTCTTTTTCAACATGATGACTTATGCTGAATGTGTCCACAGATATTTTCAAGTAGGTGACATTTGGTGCGTAACTGGGGGTAGTGTGTATAGCTTCCTGTACTCGGAAAAGGAGCTGGCTAAGCTAGTCATTTTTGTTTTTTTTTATTGCTGCTCTAAGGCCAAACTGTGCACACACTTACATGTAATAGCTGTTGAATGCTTAATTTATTTTTTTTTAAATGTAACATTACTACAGAAGTTTAAGGGAAAAAATGTGGTTGTGTGTAACCTGTAGGGCCTCTCTGGGTTGCCCAGCAGAGCGTAGTAACAGCTACTCAATGCTCATCCATAAAACACACCCAAAAAATGGCCACGGCTAAGTGGATATGAATTTTAGTATTTGGAATAAATACTTTTTTCCATGTTCTACAGTCACAAACTGTTTTCCAATACAGTCAGATTTAACACAAGGTATAGAGTGGTTTGAGCGCATTTCCCTGACATGTAAATCAATATCAAAATGCCTTGACTCACACCACTTACCAGACACTTTACAGGTGTCACAGAGAGCTGATAACAGTCCAGACTAGCTAGAAAACACATGCAACCATTCTACCATGACTGGAAAATACTTTATTCTGTTTGGGCACACAGGTTTCAAATCACAATAACCACCCCTGATTGAAACAGCTGAATTAAAGGCCATATCACTCCGGAAACTAGTTTTTCTGGAAAATGACTTTGGCATGTGCAAGTTTAAGTTTCAAAATGGAGTGAGTGAGTGAGTGAGTGAGTGAGTGAGTGAGTGAGTGAGTGAGTGAGTGAGTGAGTGAGTGAGTGAGTGAGTGAGTGAGTGAGTGAGTGAGTGAGTGAGTGAGGTTTTATGCCGCTTTTAGCAATATTCCAGCAATATCACGGCAGGGAACCCCAGAAATGGGCTTCACACATTGTACCCATGTCAGGAATCCAACCTGGGTCTTCGGGGTGACGAGCAAACGCTTTAACCACTAGGCTACCTGACCGCCTTCAAAATGTAGACTTGCTGTTACTACAATATTCCACACACAAACAGAAAACACGATAGAATTCAACCAAAAGAAGGAATTTCAAATCACAAGCATTGGTGAAGTGCAGACAGGCCAAGGATCATGTTCAGGGTAAACAGCTTATCCTGGCATATCAAAGGGATGCAACTCTTCACAGTGAATTGCAGTGCCTCAGACCACAGGGACACAAAAAACAATGTGGAATTACCTTTAAATCAGACAGGTACTCAAGCACCTTGAAGTCCTCCTCATCAAACAGACTGCACCATGGTGACGACTGGTACAGGGCTGTTTCATAACCACACACAAGGTACATTGTCCGCAAATTTTCTGAAAAATATAAATCAACAAGTTGTACATTTACATGACAATAAAAACAATTTTGTCACCCACCAAGTGTACAAAATGACAGTCATAGCCTTTTGTGATAACATAGTTTAAACAAGTCAGGCGCTGAGAGGGTATTTAGCATGCTTAGGGTCTCCTACCATATCTTGAAAACTTTTACCATTTCTATTACAGAAATTGGCACTAGTCCTGTAGTCCTTGCCAAAGTGCCCAATAGTTAAGGTATCATAAGGACTAGTAGAAATTTGCCATTTTTAAGGGTTTTGCTATATGTTATCATTATAAGGACTAGTGGACTAAAATTGTTAGTTTCAGTCGCTGACAGGGGAAATTAAAATGTAAGCAAACATGTTGCAGTACATTTTTTTTCTTAAAACAAACATTTTTTCTTAAAACAAACATTTTTTCTTAAAACAAGCATTTTTCGGAAAAAAAGCAGACCTAAATCAGCGATATCACAAAGATATCCCTACCACGTTCTTGTTGGTTGGTTGGTTGGTTTGTTGTTAAACGCCGCAGTCAGCAATATTCCAGCTATATGACAGCGGTCTGTAAATAACTGAGACTGGACCAGACAATCCAGTGATTAATATCATGAACATGGATCCACACAATTGGGATCGATGACATGCATCAACCAAGTCAGTGAGCCTGACCACCCGAACCCGTTAGTCGCCTTTTACGACAAGCATAGTCGCCTTTTACGCCAAGCATGGTTTGCTGAAGACCGGTACTACCCGGATCTTCACGGGTCACGTTCTGGACATAACCATCACACATTGTACATGTTGTAAATGCAGGCGAGTTTGATCATTGTGATCAAACCCAGGTTTCCTCAAAAACTAATGCAACAAACAAATATAAAACGTCAATACAAGTGAATGAATTCAAAATCTTGATTATCCACCAAAACAGATTCCACACAACACTATTGAACCAACTCATCCACTCATTTTCACACTAGTAGCCAGGTGAACCTGAACATTAACCCAAGACCATGTAACTGTAACAAGGGTCTGAAAGAAGGACACTGTTCATTACATTTCTTAAAATTAGATTATATTTCATTTTTGTAACAATTTCAAAATGTAAGCAGTTGATTTTTGTGCTAATTTTAAGTTTGTTTGCTTGTTGTTTAACACCGCACTCAGCAATATTCAAGCTATATGATGGCGGTCTGTAAATAATCGAGTCTGGACCAGACAATCCAGTGATTGACATTATGCGAATTGATCCACGCGATTGGGATACGATGACATGCATCAACCAAGACAGAGAGCCTGACCACCAAATCCCGTTAGTCGCCTCTTAGGACAAGCATAGTCGCCTCTTACGGCAAGCACGGGTTGCTGAAGACCTATTCTAGTCTAGTGCTAAGTAGCAGGTACCTCTCTGATTTCTAATACGTAATTGGGCCATTAGTTTACAGGCATGGACAGTTGGTTGTTGATCAAGTTATCTTGAACCAACATTTTAGTTACTGTACACATGGAAGCATGTACACATTTCTTATTTTGACACTAATGTAAATGTTTTCAATTCTTGTCGGAAAACATGATTTGTGGACGTGTAAAAGTCTACCTCAGCTATGGCGACACATGATGGAAACGTGGGGAATTAACAATTGAATAGTTTCAAATATTTGTATACCCGGGGGTAATCCTTAAAAACTTTGTTATTATGTATAATGTTGTGTTACAACCATCATTCCCAGCACAGGACCATGTAAATAATATTTTATACTCAGAAAGTCACAGTTGAGCCCGAAGGCCTTTGGCCTCATCTACGAGTTTGTTAGTAGAGAAAATTAGTTACTTGGTACTCTGCTCCAAGTCATTAACAGCCAGGTGGTTTCCTTTAGAAAAGGAGTGAGTGAGTGAGTGAGTGAGTGAGTGAGTGAGTGAGTGAGTGAGTGAGTGAGTGAGTGAGTTGGATTTAACAGTATTACAGTTATATCACGGTGTGCCAGTTTAATGTGAGAGGAAAGCCCAAAGTGATGCATGTCTCAGACGTTTGGTGAAATCCTCGAGCACAAACCTAAAACATAATTGGGGTGAATCAGGGTCACAGCGACCTGCAGCTCCTCAGATGACTGGGCTACCTGTACATGAACCAGAGAACAGTACAGTAATCATGGTAATCAGAACAGGTTTTTCAAGGACAGAATTTAAGAATAGCATTATTTGATAAAGAGGTTATCAAGCTCTTGACTTTTGATATGATAAATAATTTGTGATAACCTCTATCAACTCTTATCATCCATATATGTGCATTAAGCACCCATATCATTCCATTCAAACTAAGCCAAAGTGGATCGACAGAGATCAATGTTACATGTGCAGTAATGAGTCCAAATGCTCCACAGCTTTGCTGGCGTCTAGTGACATTTAAGCATTTTCATCATAATGCAGGTACTTGTTGGGACATACAGATACCACGTGAGAGCCTTGCACCGAAACACACCAGCATGACATGCACATGCAACATCACTTGTTGTATGCCATCACAATCTTATAGCAAGTGAACAGCGAAATTATGCCACACTGTGGAACACGGGACAACACGGGACCTTCCCAGATCTGTTTGACTACGTATCACTACTAGAGCACAGGTCTGATTCATATGGCTATGTCACTCACGTGAAAGAACCACCACGGCCACTTCAACAACTACAGCAATACCAGGATTGCGTAGGATATCAGCCCCGACAGTGAGGAACCATTTACAGTTATGCCCCGCTTATATGGACTTCAGATATCCGGAAACCTCGGTTCCCAGACGATTTTCATTCAAAACGAAATAATTACTATATGAATTTACCAGTATATCCGGAAATTCAGTTTCTGGTACCGGACGGTCATTTTCATACACAAAACACTGAAATGCACACAAAATTGTCTCACTTATCCGGTCAATACACTTCCGCTGGTGGTAATCCTTCCGCTGGTGGTAATCCTTTTATTCGTGAGAAGTCAATTAACCAAGTGACACTGGGTTACGTTTGAGACGAGCTTGTTTATTGTACATGTAATCCCCTTCGATAAATATGGCATCTGTGGAGGTCAGTGGTCAAAGTTGTGTAAGTATGGCCTGTCAACTCACAAGGAGGCTTGTGCTTGTACACAGCAAGCCTGAAAACAGCCCTTTTCAGGAATCACAACATCCAGGTCCTGTCATGGTCCTCTGGATCTCCAGACGTAAACCCAATGGAACATTTATGGAACGCACTGGATCTGGACGACTGCGAGCACGTCAGCAACAACAACAGAACCCCCAACAGTTGGCACAAGCAGAGTGAGTAAACATTCATTCCCCAGGCCACAATTTTGGATTTGATTGGTTCCATGGGACGAGGAAGACAGTCAGTTTTGGACTTTAATGGTGGCCATACAAGATATTGAGAACAGATGACCTTCACCTTGAAAATTGGTATTTTAAACTTTTAGCGAGAAATGGTGTACATATTTGATATCAAAAGTTACTTGGGGGAGAATCTAATGATCATCCAGAATCAATCTTCCAACTTTCCACACTGTTAACAGTAATAAGCAGTGTTCTGAGTGCAAAAAGTACAGCTAACCAGCTTCAGTAGCAGAGAGATTGTGACGTCATGGTAACCTATGATGTCACAATGGTCTGCAAAGCATTGTGTCATAATGTCATTGTAGCAATATCTTATAGATAAGATCCCTTGATTCACCTAACACTGCCTAAGGACATCTTCCCGAGCCAAGTTTAAAAGTCCAGTTTCCACCCTGACCAAATAGGGTTTCAATTTCGTTGTGTGATTTTGATTGGACTATGCATAGACTCGTTAGTCCTGCCAAAATGTTACTCCATAACGCCAGCCTAGTTCAGCAAGGGTGGAAACTGAACTTTTATCATCAGTTAACTCTCTTGTCTCGGAAAGATGTCCAGGGAACTCTCCTGTGAGGCCAGTTTGGGATGATAAATATAGTATCCATCTCAACTGTTGATAGTGGGGATTGTCTGGCCATAGCTTGTTATTTATATACATTTCTCATCTGTTTTGGCAGATGTGTGTCTGACACTAACGTGTTATATGAAATTGATTGTATGATGCAATAATCATGATAATGCCCATTTGTATGTACTGCTACTGTCTAATTGGGAGAAGTATTTATATAAACATTTAGTTGGCCGTTTGCTCATCCCCTTCCCTGTTTGCAATATTTGGGAAATAAACATTGACTAAACCATTGGCAAATCAAAGATTGGTGGGAATTCAGCACATGTCAGATGAACACTGAACATGCTGAATACTGGAGTCACGTAATCTGGTGTTATTTCAGTTGTCAGAAGACATGGAGGAGAGGCAGGGTGTACAACAGTTACATTTCTTTACAGTAAAACAGTCAAAGAGTTTCAAGGTTGTACCTGTATACTAAACTAGTCTTCATTCGTGTTAAAAAGATAGTTCATATCCCTTTGCTGAAAATGATATTTCCTAACCCTTTGCTGAAAAGGATACATCATATCCCTTTGCTGAAAATGAATCTCAGGTGAACTGAGTTGTAAGCAGACTGAGAAGACATCCAAAGCAATACATTTGTCATCATGGTCATGAACGGTTTGATAGTCAAGCGTTTTGATGATAGCTGACCACACCAGACTTGCTACGAATTTGTCAGGCAACTGATGTTTGTTTGATTGTTAATGCCACACTCAGCAATATTCCAGCCAAATAATCAAGTCTGGACCAGTCAATCACTGGATTGTCTGAGCATCATGAGCATCGATCTACGAAGTTGGGGGGGTGAGCAAGTATGGGAATACTGCTTTTAGACAAGCATAGTAGCCTTTATGACAAACATGGGTTGCTGAAGACCTATTGAATATTGACCAGCTATTGACACTCATGTGGCAGCTGTATTGTGTCAGTGTTACCTGAGTCAACATTTTCATTGATTCAACATATATTTTTAACCCTGATTTACTCTGACAAGCATTCTTTCCTGCTG